CACATATTCCAGGATTAACATCCTATCATTGGGTCCATCAGCATCCCCAGTATCTAAAATGTTCTTGGCAAATGGTATGGATTGCTGAGGGGATCAGTTTTGCTTTTGCTGATAAAGAGACACCTCAAAAATATACTTGTGTGTATTCACTGTTCTGCAGGGGATAGAGATGTCTCAGCGTGTATCAGACTGTCCCAGCATACTAACTGTATTGCTAGACAAAGAAAGCAGGTAGCAATAAACTACCTATCAGCAAGAGTCAAAGACAGCGAAGCCAACGCAACCAGATTACAGCACCAAACCCAAGCTCTTTGTTTTTACCAAGTTAGGCTTAACTTGGCATTCAGAAATGTCGCAATTTTTCCCTTCGGGATCCCTCTCAAAAGGCAACAGTACAGCATGATCTCAGCACGCCAACGTTCTGCCAGCTGGCTGGTCCCCCGTTGCAAGGAATGCAGCTCATGTCTTGCCATCTAGCTTGTTCCAGACAACGCTACATCCTTTGGTAATAGTTTTCACAGGACAGAACCTCCAGGCAATTCAGATTCCCCGTCTGATCTCAGAGGTAATAGTGAACTGAAGTGAATAGTGAATAAAGATTGCAATTAAATTTTGTCAAGCTTTCTACTTCCTTTCAATTCCCTATTTACTAACTCCAGCAAGGTTATGTGATTTCCTCTCTTTACAATAGAGGAAGGGAAACAATGCAGAATAAGGTCGACATTATTCCGTTGCTTATTCAAGTACTGATGACACTTGTAATTAAATCAAGTATTTTAAACAAGTCATACTGCATAAACACCTCACAACATAAACAACAGTTTTAGGGAAAGGTAATAAGGTTGTGCAGAGCACTGCTATCTGTCACAATAAGGCAGAGATTAGTCATCTCACCTTCCAGTACATATTCTGGCAGCTGAACAAAGAAATAGGGATGCAGATTAATTGATATGACTTATTTTGTATTTGTTTCATTTCTACAGTAAAGAATTATGTCCTCTATACCTCATTCATTAGGTTTCTTTCATAAGTTTTATTCTTTATTAAAATAGTTCTACTACACTAAACCAGCAGAAAGAGCTGCACTGAATCTATCCCTTCATGGCTTTAAAAGTGAGAGTGGAAAATAAACGCCTAAAGCCCCCCGCCAAGAAAACAGTACAAATTCTGTCCAGATGATAAAGCTGAGGTGTTTAGAAGGCAAGTCAAACAAGGTGAGGGGACTATGGAGGAATTTGCACTTTTTCCTTCTGATAACTTCATTGATCAACTACCAGCCAAAACCTCCACTCCTCGCTCAGCCTGAGAACCCACCTCCTTCCTTCCAGTATCTTTAATAAAAACATACAACGGATCTTTGTGAAGGAGACATAATGAAATACAAGCCACAGGACTGCCTCACATGTATGACAATCACTCTTGACAGCTCTTCCTCCTACAGAGGGAGAAAGCACAGGAGAACAGCACATCCATTGCAGGCTCTTGGCAGGTTCGACACGGAACTAGCCCAACACTTGGTGTCTTAAGTACAGCACTTTATTTGTTCTTCTCTCCTCTTCATGCAAGAGTGTGTGCAACTCAGGACATGTATATACCAAACTTTTATCAGTTCAAAATGAACATTTCATCATTTTATCATTACTTTTCTTACAAATACCAACCCATCCAGCCTCGCAAAACACGCAAGTGGGCAGTAAGCCTGGCAAGACCCATTTTAATAGCTGCATCTCAGTTTACAGCTTAAATGTCTGCCCACTCCCTTATATCTTAAGAACTTATCACAATAGTGTAAATAAAACTATGAGGAAGAGAACATGTAAAGAATGCATTCCTAATGCTAACAGAGTACAAGCTAAGGAATGCTTTTTAAAAACAAAGAATGGTTTTAAACAGAAAGTGAAGAAGCAATAAAACACTAGTCAGATATTTCTCTGTTCCAAAGCATTACAAGAATTTTCACCACTGCCAACAAACCAGTGCACTAATCCCCTGCAATTATTGTTCTTATAGCAGGTGGAGACCATAAACAGCGATGGAGAAGCAGCCTTTGCAGAGCAATTATCCTCCCACTACAAGCATTCTCTGTTGCTTTAACTCTGTCACCAACACCTCATGCAGTAGGACTGCACCATCGTATTTCGGAGACATGCACTGCCCGAGGCGTAGGCTGGCTCAAGACCGACCTCCCAAAGAACAAGCAGGTTGTCACTCGACTGTCGAAGAAGGTCCTGAAGACAGTGATGCAGCTCTGTTCACTCAGAGGGCTTAGCCCAAGTCACTGTTCAGGCCCCAGGTCTTTGGGGACTACTTATGTTTTCAGAACAAGTCAGGCAGACCATACCAAGCACTAAGGTTATATTCTAAAAATAGGGGCTATATTTTTTATTATGTGTTATTAGTAGTGTGCTATTACTCCATTTACTAATACGTTATCATTGTTACTGGGAAAAGAGCTCTACTGGGACTGGAAATTACAGAAAAATATTAGAGAAAACAAGTGTGAAACCGTCAGTTCATTAAAGAGTCAGAATACTAACAGTGCTGTTCAAGAGCCTTTGGTAAGTGATGCGCAGCCCTCTCACGCCAGGCAACCAGCTAAACTGGCTGGAGAGAAAGCCACTTCCCCAGCTCGTGCCTACAATTCACATGGTAAGTCATACAAAAGCAACAGCCAGTGGTAAAGCCCAAGGTCTCTCAGATGCGTTGGTCGGTTGGCTTGTTATATAAAAAACACAATCTACCCTGCATTGCATTAATTTTGATTGAATACAGAAAGTAATCTCTGTGTAAACCCAATAATGGATATAAAATAAGACCTATATCGTGAGATACTACTCTGAAGAGGGATATGGGAACCCAGGAACTAACCCCATTTTCATTCAGTTCTAGGTCTGACCCATGCACCACTTCAAAGAATTCACTCTCATCTCAAAACTTCAGTTTTCATATCTGTGCAATGATATGGGCTGCTTGCCTAGTCCTCACAAGCACGTGTTTATGTATGGAAACTGCCTTAAAAATGACAAGTGCATTTATTAGAGCCAATTTAAATGTATGAAATAAACTGAAGGTACAGACAGGATATCATACTATTGGCATTTCTAAAGTTTCAACGGCACTTAAATAATGTTCCATGATATCACACACAAGAATCTAATTAATTTTCAAGACAGCATAAAGCAATAATATTTGCAGGCAATTTAAGGCAAGTTAATACCCAACTTCCATTGAAAACATTAAGCCTGCATGCCTAATTGCTCCAGGGGCCGTTGAAAAGCCCAGCGAAAATGAACAATAAGCAGCAAATCAACCCTTTCAAAATGAAAGCAAACCCCTCCCCTCCACTATCATAAGGTATTTCACAAAAATTTATTTCACTTACATAAACACATATTACATCATAACAAGTCAGAGAGAGATATGCAAGTGATTAATAGGATTAGTAATATTTTTCAGAAATATTAAAATCTTTCATTATATACCATAATATGAATGGGGAAAGGGAAGATCATTACCATATTTCCCATCTACGTGCCCACATTATTAACATTTGTCAGACAAAGAGGGTAGCATTCCTCAGATTTTCCATTTCTCTACCCCGCACAAAAAAACCCAAGGAAATGGGAACGCCCCTCTTATACACTACAAAACGCCCTGCTGCCATTATAAAAGTCTAACTTGGTAGACACTGAAGCAGTTGGAACCAGATTTGATGGCATCAGTACAAAAGAATCTATTATCTTTGTAAAATGAAGTAATCACCAAAAAAAAAAAACCCAACAACTTAGGAAACAGAAGCTTCCAGCAAGGATTAATTTTTCAGTACTCAGTCTTGATAGCTCCTTGGCAACACAGAATTCGACTCAAGAGTATCTCATCATACGTAACTTCCTGCAGAGTAACCAATATTAATTACTGTATTTTTGGTACTTGTTGACATGGGCCTCATTTGACATCGTAAAAGAGAAGTAAAAATACTACATTATCTCTTTTACTCCTTCTTTGATGCAGTCCTTCTTCAGTGTTTTTAATTTTCCACCCTAAAAATTGCTTCCTAGAGAGCAGGTGAATACTTTGATTCAAATTAATAAAGAAAGGAAAACAATCCCAAATTTCCCTGTTCAATAATAAATATGAATAACAACGGCTACTCAAGACCATTTCCTTCCAGGACAAGGCTGCCATAAGGAAAGACACTTCCAAGAAAAGGAAGATGCAGGAGTCAACAGAGGGTTTCTCTACAAGAAACTCACAAGCAGGAACTAGAGAAACAGAAACCTTTCACTAAGCTGAAGCTACTGTAATACACTATATGGCCAAATGAGAAAAGTAACCTACTTGATTTTTGTTAAGTGCTTAGATAAACTGTAAGACAACATTATTTCATGACTGCTTTTCTTGTTGAAATTAGGTTAGTCTAACAAAGTCCTGGAGGAAAGCCACATCTTTTATCACTCTAAGAGAAAAAGGTTTCATATTTAAAATCATGCTGCTGTTTCCTCTTTTTCCTCATTGTGGAAACAGAACTAATTTTCCATACATGAATTCTAAAGATAAAGGGTTCAAAATCCTTACATTTTTAAAGTGGCATGAAATTTTTTTTTTTTGGGGGGGGGAGCACTAGAGACCAATTCAAAGATTTAAAATTAAGTTAATTCAACAATTCTCATCCATTTCCCTTCAAAGTGAAGTTGAGGTTTAGTCTCAGACATTTTCTTTTCAAAGAAAGTGCAAACGTGAAAACAATAAAGGAATTGGCACTAGCTTGCATTCTACAGGACTGAAGTAAAAGGTAGACAGGCACACATTGCATTGAATTATCTCAAGTATGCAGACTTTTTAATAACAAAGACACTAAAAAAAAAAAATTTACCTCCTTTACCTGACCAATTCCAATCTCTATTTGTAGATCAACAATATATTTTCATCAGTAAAGTCATGGCCAGGCATACATATCTGTTCACATGTCAGAGTTCTGCCAGAAAAATGTATAAACTTACCTTGTCTTGGTTTTCCTTATTTTTATAACATAAATTTCCAATCAAACGAATGAGATGAGATTTAAAACCCACAGCTGGATGTGAAATTTCTTCCTGCCCTGTCATAGTATGTGTGGCGGTGAAAATATTTACAGCTTGTTTCCCAGCAAGATGAGTTAATCTCAGGGTATCTACAGAAAACAAGAATATTTTCATTAATTACCACATGAAAATTAGTAGCACTTTGCACAGAGCTTTACTACTAATTATTAGGTTCCAAGTTAATCAAGAGAATTTCAGATATTGAGCAATAGGTAAAAAGAACCTTGCAAGTTTTCTTTACTTCTTAATTTGTGCTAGTATAACTGTAAAAGGTCAGAAGGCATTTTTGCATCCTTTTTACATTCCAATATGAAGTCTGAAGGCTGGTGCTATTGGTCTCTACTTGAAGAGTCATAATTTGTAGGCTGTTGATGATTCTGGCACCATAAAAATATTGCTAAAACCAAGTTTTTTAGTTCAAACTTGTCACAGCAACACATACTAATCACAGAATTACTTTTTCTCTCTTCTCCAGTCTGCTCCTAGCTCTGTAGTATAAGAAAAGATTTCCAGTACATCTAGCAACTTGACACATCTTTACAAATCCTTCAGTGCCATAACCTTGTCCACTAAGAAATACTAATGTTCCTGTATGGTAAATGCTGTTACAGCAACTAGGATTTTTCCTACAATGCTTCAGAGAGAAATCAGGGAGAAGTGTAACTAAAATCTGTGAAAACAACATTCCACAGAGACCACACCCAGAAGGAAAGCTGAAATCATGTGAAGCCCTGAGAGCTCATAGAGCTGAGAAGCCAATTCACTAAAGACTGTGCCTATATTTAAATATTAAGAAGTATTTGTCCTCTAAGTGACCAGCAATACTAATAAATAGCCTGGCATGCCATTGTCCCCAAGGTGCTTCACACAACTTACATTGGAACAACAAAGACGTAGCAAAACCAGGTTATAGCACAGGGCAGTAATTAAGTCCTATGCTCCTTCTGCTCTAGATGTGACAACATCCATAGTGGAACGGGCACCAGATTTCCTGGATTTAAATTAGAAGAAACTTCACAGGTCCTCATATTATAGTTTCACTCCCAGATGGCTGATACAGGAGAAGAAAGAAAAAAAATCTCGGTGCTGATAAAGAGGTAACTACATTTTTTGGAGTTTTTTTAAATATGAAACGATAATAGAGCCTAGAGGCTTCCTGTATGACAGTTACCACTTATATTTGTTCATATTTTGAACTAGGAAAAAACAATCTCCTGATTGCCCCTAAAAACCGTCATCATAAAATAGCTTTTAACACCATCTTCTTTCATAGAAATTTTTTTGCTTTTGTAAATTCATAAAAATCATCAGTGTCTCACATCCTTCTCATAGCATTCCACTTTATGTGCTTCCCTGCCTTATAGTCTTAGTATTTTCCCCCACACAAACACGTAAGAGGGAATTCCATGGTCTTCCCAAACCTTCTGCCTGCCCTTAAAAGGGACTGCTGAAAGAAAGGTTTATGAACAACAAAAAAAACCACTACTACCCCCCCCCAAGTAAATAAAACTCTTTAAATTTTATTACAGTGCAGAGAAAAATGCAATGAGCAGTGCATCTACCTGGAAAGAGAAGTACAGGAGAAGGAAGAAAAGCAGCCGTCTTCCATCCATGATACCAACCCAGAGAGAACAGTGCTCCTCTCAAACACTGCACATCAACACAACACAGCAACTGCTCCCAGGATGTCACCCCTGCTCTCAACTAAAACACCCGAGTCTGCCATTCTCTCATTATCCAAAAGAGAAATTCTTCCAAAATGCCCCTCAATCCAAACAACCATTTACCTCCCTGGTGACATTCCCCAAACACTGTCCAATCAAGCTGTTAACATTGCTACAGATACTAACAACACTGCAGTATTAATGTCTAAATCCAACAATTACGGAAAATAGGAAAACACACTCCTTAGTTGATACTTAAAAGATCATTCAGATTTTTTCAGATCTTTCAATCAATTTTTTAGTAATTTCCAATAGGAAATTTCTCATGATATAAACTGAAGAACTACTTCATCAAAAGATCTATTAGATGAAATCTTTTGCACTACCTAGCCTTATTCTTCTGGTCTTCAGAACTAACTACTGAAGGTGATCTAACACATCAATACAGTTTTTCACCCTTTTTGCTAATCCAGGATTAAAGGAGTCTTGTAGCCAAAAGGTAGTCTTAAAGAGAAACTATACCACTTGATAAATTCCCGTTGGCTGAGGGCATGTGGGAAACACATAGGATGCACATGGTAGCAATGTTCTAGCCTGCACCCATTGCATTAGCCTGGAGACAGCTGCAGAAAAAAAGTCAGTCTGTGCACAGCTAGAGAAAGGAGGACTGGCCTATAGGCTTCTGAACTTAACTTATGTGCAGCTCCTTGAATTCCCTATTTAAGTTGAAAGACTTATAGAAGCGTTCAGGTAATAGAACGCATGACTGAGTTTCCTCAAAACACACACAAACACATGCACAAAACAGATCTTGTTGTTAGTCATCTTACTGTAAGCAATAAAACTATGAACCTGTCATCAAAAAATAAAGGTTTGGTTGTTTTGGGGTTTTGTTTGTTTGTTTTTTACAGCAAGGACCCTCTAAACATCTCAAAATAGTCATAGTTAACAGCTGTTTCAGCCTTTTGCTTTTTAGCCAAAATATTACATATTTCTCTTTAAAATCCATAAACTTTTACAATTTTCCCATAAAAAGGTGGCATACATCAGTCTCAAAGTGCTAAGATTCAGGAAAGCACAGGTCAGTGTGCATACGTGTACTTCCTTCTCCTTCCTCCCCAAGTATATAGGGTCTCTCTGGACCATATTGTCTTAATTTTGTGTACAGCCTTTTGCTTGTGGTTTCTTCGCAGAAGAAAGCCTCTTTCAAACTGACCTTTAAAAGTCACTGAATTTGGTTAAGAACATTCAAACTGTACTTAGTTTCAGTTTTCAGGGATTTGGGAAACAGAAGGGAATAGGCATGGAAAAGTCCTTTTTCTACTTCTTGAGGAAATTCTTCCACACACATTCAGCCAGTGGAAGAACATAGGAAGCAGCTGTCCTTTGCACAACTCCTACTGTACAAATAGCACATTGCTGACAGTTGAATCAAGGCTCTGTTAGGTAATAGGAGCCAACAGAGCAAGCGGAGAAGCGGAAAAATTCCAGGAACAAAACAAATATTTGAAAATGTAGATTAACTCAATCTCCTATTTATTTATTTTATTAAAAGGTCAGAATCATAATTACCACCAGTTGTGAAAAACATGTTTTCATTCACAGAGCAACATGATTTGGAGCAAGCCAACAGTTAATAAACCTCGTGGCTTTTCACTCACCTATGGCTGTTTCAAGCAAACCAGGCAAAGCCTGTAGATGTTCTAGCTGTCCATTGTTTGATGTCATTTCACAAAGAACGTCAAGAAGACGAATTGTAACCAGTGCTTCCTGTAAATGAAAATCACATTTCTAAAAATGTCTTATGAAGGATACCATAAGAACATAAAACCGATGATCTAAACGGAGGACAGGAACTCTCAGCACCTCAGGTGTTCTGCAGGTCTTCTAAACTGCCAAGAATAAATTTATATAAAACGAGGACATCTTTCTACAATAACAATACTGTATTACACTGCAATAATTCCTTTTCTACAGTCAAAGAGTGTTATATGTGCCCTGAAAAATCATGGGGAAGCCAAAACAGAGCCATAAGGGATAAAATTTTAACAAAAACACAGTAGCTTCCAAAAGCAGAAATGCAGAAAATTACTAGCTGAGAAAATTATTTCTGTATAAATGTTTTCTTTGAGTTTATTCAGTAGGAGCGTCCCACTTTAAAGACACAAACACCGCCTGCAAGACACCAATTTGTTTTCCGCAGGAATTCTGTAAAGTTCTGTGGTCAAATGAACTTTGGCTGCGAGAATTTACATTATTCTTGGGTAAATAGGATTGGGATCGTAGATGCAGCATTTTGGTTAGGTATGAGACACACAATTTCATTTGCATTTTATTTATTCAGCCAGAGAACTATTTTTTCCTCACAGACTATGTTGATGCATGCTTATAATGACAATCCAGCACTTACAGAAACTACCTTAAGAGCGTATGGGATAATTTGGAACACCACATATTGCTCAAGAACCGGACTGTGACTGCAAGATGATTTCACACAAGGTGTGGTACGTAAACTGCAAGCAGCCTTGAAAAGACTCAGACATAGGTCACAGTAACTATTCCTGCCTTGTCAGGTCCAGGACAAAGAGACATTTACTTTCAATATAATGAATATAACATAAATGAAATCATCAACAATAGTGTTCAGTAATTAAGTACTATGATTATATCCATTCTATGCTCCTTCCAGGCAACAAATTGGTATAGGGTCCAAGTCCTAAAGCTGTATTTTCATTTTTTTCCTCACACAGGTGTAGGGACCTGCAGGTCTTGCCCTAAGTTATTCAATAAATTGCTTTCAACAGCACAAAACCAGCCTCTGAATACACTGGTCATTGTCCTGTTACAAAGTAAGAATACCCCAACTGTATTTCAGAGACAGTAAGCAGGTACTTACAATTTTTAAGCCATTTTGCATTGTTACAAGACAGTAGCTTAACCAAAAGCTCTTCAGCTCACACACTTAACACTTTCCTTTGCACAAGAAAAGGTTACCTGCTTTGCAACTGTAAAGCAAAAAAGTTTCAATAGGCAACTATAAATCACACCAGTAAGGTACAACAGCCCTTGCTGCCTATGTGTACCCCATTACCCACGTACATAATGCAAGCTCTGCAAGGGCTGATATTATGAGGTGTGGCTTTTCCTTTCTGAGCGTTATCCTTTTTCACACACACACACACCCCTTGCACACTCCCCATTTTCTTTTAAATGCCTTTCTTCACTGTCCTCGACAGATTTCTTCCCAGGATTTTATACTACCATCTCTCCCTTTCTCTTATCCCACCATCTGGCCCAGTTCAGCAACTGTTCCATCTAGATTTGAGAAGAGGAAAAGATTATTTAAAAAGCACAAAAGAACCCCCAAATTCTTAGCTACATTTGAAATTTGATCCTTTCAAAAAAGGATGTTTAAACATCTCTGGCTGGGTTCCCCCCTCCCCAACTGTCCAATTTTTTTTTTTCCACCCTCCACCTGTACAAAAGAAAGGCAATACAGCAGAATACTTTCTTTTTCAGTTCAGCAACAAGATGCTGTTCAAACCCCAAAATATTCTTAAATCTGACAGCCATCTTGATATGGATATAATCTGAAAAGTAAATAATGAAATAATTGAAGAGTTTTTAAATAAACATATTTTGAGAGAGACTCAGAAAAGATGTTCCTTATAAAAAGATTAAATAAGAACTTAAAATCCAGGGAATGGTTTTATTTGCAAGTATGGTTGAAAGTTAGTGAAAGCAAACTGATGCTGAAGTCAGGCTTATAATGGAAAAGCTATTTTAAACATTGGTTTAAGCACTGCAGAAGCATATGATTAGCTTTTCATTGGTTTGAGATGGAAGCTACAAGACCTGAGGTTCCTTAGGGAAAAAAGGCAGTGTGTACATATAAAAAATTAAATAGTGGATGGGACACCCAGACAACACTTTGGGAGTCAGGCCAGTTCAAGGACTGTTCCCAAAAGGCAGTTTTCAAATGTGGCCTCACAGTTTTGGAGGCTGAGAGCTTACTAGTACAGACATAGCCTGACCAAGGCACTTGGCTTCAAGGCCACAGAAAAGTCCAGGCAGAGTTTAGTTTAATATCACAGATGTTGCCTAAAGTATTTTTAATGACAGACTCTACATGCATAATTGCATTTTTTTCAGTTATGCAAAAACTAAAATATTTTTATAATTCAGGAGAAATTGGTGCAATTTTTGATCATTTCTAGTAAGAAAAGAAACAGTTTTATGAATTTAAGCTGGAATTTCTCTTTTCCCATGGCAAGCGTATGTTATGAATAAAAGTATACACACAATATGCATATACACACTTTTTTTGTCATTGCTTTCCAATTATTAAGCTATTATATTTTGTGCTCATTAAATGATCCACACTTCCCACCAAATAGTGATACTCAACTTATCATACATCATGTTTATGTGAGAGAAGGATAAAAAGTCAGTGTCAAACAGAGCAAGTTATACAGTAATATTCTCAATACTGCTGTCCCAGCACCTTCAAGCTGGACAGAGACCTCCTCCTGCTAGGCGCAAACAAATGTTTTTTTCCAAGAACTGAAACCACAGAATACTTGGAAAGTAACCACATAGGATAAAGAATTAAAAAAAAAGGGGGGGGGGCGGGCGAAGGAAAAGAAAGCAACAGAGAGAGAAGCAGGGCAGGGGGATAGAAGGAATTGTCTCAGTATATGTCCTCTTACTGCCAAGCTGAAACCTTTTCCAGAAGTAGTCAATTACGTTTTCTAACATAACTTAGACTAAGCAGCTGGGGTGGGGGGAAGCTGTGCTTCTTGGACAGATAAGAAGAGATGGCTGTGTGGTTGTTTTTATGCATCCAACTATCATCTCCTCATAAAGTGATTTTTTTATATCTTTTCATAATACCTCTCAACATACATTTAAAATTCTTGTGTCTATTTAAACAAACAAAAAAACCCAGCAAGTAAAACACTGTGTAACATTATCATATAAAAGCATTTAAAGATCAATATTTTTTCACTTTGATAGTAAATTAGTTATGACAGCCATTCTCAAGAGTTTCTACAAATGAAACTTACAGGTTAATTTTGTTTTAACAATAAAATGCTTCCGACTACACATATACTGGGTAACACAATTTCAACATGCCACTGTGGTCACTTGGCAAGGTAGAAGCTAGATGTGACTCTTTTTAAATATCTTTTAAAACATCTTATTAAGAAAATATGTTAATTACACTTCTGAAACTAAGCATGATTAATCAGTGAGAATCAGTGATTAACTAATTCTGTGTTTGACTAAAACATATTAGATTTCTCAGGCTTTTACTTTTCTGGCTACTTGTCTTTAAAAACAAAAACCTCACCCCTAAATCAGCTGAAAACATTAAAACTTTATACGAGAGGGATCGAGAACTGAGACCAATATGACCTGGCACTGCCCGCTCACAATAGGATGACCTAACCCAGCACAAATAATCTCACTTCAAGTGACAGTGCAAGTTGCTTCCTGTATTCCCAAAGGTGGTGGTAGATCGTCAAGCAGCTTGTGGAAAGTAAGAGGAAAAATAGAACACCAGATTATTTTAAAAGACCTCTACCCTTAGATGGCCTAAACCTCCTTACTGCACTATATGGTGTGGCAAGTAGCCAGCAACTCTTGGATACTTCATAAGGAGGAAATAAAATAAGGCCATCCAGGACTCAGCTCTGCATCAGAGGTTCCCAAAGTGCAACCCACAAACCATCTGTGACCCATAAAAGCCTTCCTATTTAGCTTGCAAAGGGACTTCATTGTGGCCATCCTCAACAGAACCAGTTCATTAAGTCTGAAGCAATAACAGATTTCTTCCAAGTGGAGTGGAGTTGGGGCAAGTGTCTGGGTGCTCAGGAGACAGGAGCCGTCTGCCATTAAGTGCCCAGCAAGCTCTGCAACTCGATGCTGTGGATGCTAGCTGGCACCAGGACTGACGCCTTGTCAGAGCCACGCAAGGTCCACCAGAGAGCCCCAAATCATTGGAAAAAGGGGAAGAGTCAGTAACGAAAGCCCTTGCTTACAGGGAGGACCACTATACATTTCAGACAGCAACTCTGCACTGAGCCGATCACACACACACCACAGCTCCCCACGATCAGAACTTGCTGTTCCAGGTCCTAAACAGATCAGGAACACCTGCCTTACAAGTAGCCAAATGCATCTTCAAAGAACTAGTATGTGGGACCTTAATAATGTATTAACTATCAAGTTGTCATCAGTTATTTAAGTTTAAAAAAAAAACCAAACCCAAGATTTACTTACTTTAGTACTGCTAGGAAAAAAAAAAAACAAACATTTACTCCATTTTTACACCAATTTTAAGGGGGGGGGAGGGGAAGATGCTGCTTCCCACTTAGAAATAAAATAAATATTTAAATTTTGATTCCTATTTGAATAAAATATAATGCACAACCCAAATAAATTAATAGACGTGATCCTTAGTAAGAACATAATAAAACATCCAAACACATGAAAACTTCAACATTGTTAAAGATCTAAAAATTTTAAAATTGTGGTAGATTTATTTCTATCTCAAAGTACCGTATTCTTTGTCATCCTCAAATTAAAAGCAAAATTGGGCTGTTGTCTTATAGATTCTCCTGTGAATTCCGTCATTGCTTTCCCAATACAAAGTAAACTGGGAATGTACACAAGTGGCACTTGGGATTCTGTACTGTAATGCTTTTTATCCGTCATACCTCATCTTCTGCATCTGCCGCAGAAGTTAACTTGAGCACAGCTTCACATTTCTCTTTGAAACAGCCTGCAAGGAAGTCAGCATGTCTCATGAACAAATTCATTTCTTCACCGGTAACTGGGTTCTTCTCACTTACTTTCTCCATTATCAGCTCTAACAAAGTAACTCTAGAATCAGAAAACAACTTGTTAATCAAATTCACTAAGCCATATAGAGTTATCAATAGAATAAGCAGATACAGTTGTTAAAAACGATACAAACTATTAGCACGCTAGTAACAGAGCTGATTTGTAAAAATTAAAAAGTCTTATGAACAGTGGCAATCAGTTCCTGTTTGCTGTATTTTTCTGCACACCATTAATTTAATTCATCATTCAATTAATACAATCTGGCCAGACAGACAAGTCAATATTTTTCTCAAGTCTATTTCAATTTCTAATTTCTTATGTCCTAACATAACATTACTGTAAGTGCATATTCCATATGTCTAAAATTTCCACCAAAACAGCTCTTAAAAGCTGTTGTTAATTTCAGCAAAATAAACCCAGACTATTTGACAGCTTCCATTTGAAAAGATCAGCTTTTCACAGCCCTTGCCTTGCACGCAGTCCTTCACTAACTCTTCTCCCCAACCCCAAACCAATTCAGAAACAGAAGAAATAAAAATTGGTATGTACGCTAGGTTCTTTACAGCTGTTTTATAATTGCCACTAGATGGACTACCGTAAATCCAAGTTAATTACTCATACACCCAGTAAGAGTTATTCAGTGCATTAAACCAGCAAGTAAGTGGACACATAACGAAGCTGCTCTATAAAATGTACTTGGGTCATTTATTTTAACAGCTTTAATGTTGTTTTATTTCCGATATCCCTTCATGTTGTTAGGGCAATCTGGGAGCATTTTGTGGAAGCAGGACTTTACCAGGGCAGAGTCCCTCCTACAGCCTCCCTGTTCAACTCCAGCGCAGAGGAGCACATGGGTTAGTGAAGTCCCACTGTAATTCTCTCAACCTGAAAGAGCACTATTTATTGAATGAATTCAAGAGCAGGCTCAGGGTTTTCTTTCACTAAAATATTTGCAATTCAGATGGAAGGACTGAGATTTAAACATGTGGAATAGTTCAAATGCTTTTTCTTTTTTTTAAATTTACCAAGCAGGTTGTCACAAGGGGAAGAGAAATGTCTTTTTCTGTGGAAAAAGCACGGTCACTGCTTTATTAACCTCCAAGAACCCACCCCTATTAATCATGTAACAGCTACTCAGTTCTTGCTAAACTCAAGCCTCAATGTCATTAATACAACTGCATTAAACAATTATCTGAATGAGGACAAAAAGCTTTTTCAACACGGTAGCACAGAAATGCGCTCAACACATTTGGGAAAGGGTGGACTCCAGACAGAAGGCTGTCAAACACTGGTAACCTCTCTCACAGGCTTTGCTTACGCATGTGACGCAGCACCAACACAGAACAGTCGTTCTGTTTTCCTGCAGGTTACAACTGGCTACCACACGCTTGCCCATCTACAAACTACCAGAGTCCAGTTACCCAACATCCCTAACTAACGAAGGCTTTCAGATTTGGCATACTATACAAAAATCAAGTTAAGTGCACAGACATGTCATTCATCCCCAAGACAGGGCTAGATTTTATGTGCCAGTTTTTACCAAGTTTAGAGCCTTTCAAGCATATGCTCAGCTAAGAAAACAGGCTGCTCAGAGATTTTATGATTACAGGAATTATTCCAGTAAAATATTATCTCCTGCGTAACAGAATTCTAGTCAGCTATTGTTGCACCAATAATCCAAGTAATACCCATTTAAAAATGGCAAGCAATCCTTCTGTAAAGAAGTTGGAGGGTCACCACATACTTCCACAAACTGAATTAGTGAGATGAAATTGTTCCCAATAGGGAAATTTTTTGCATTACTCTTCTTCTTGCAATATGATCATGTGCCCTTTTAGACAGCCACAATCCTTCCAGAGAAATAGGAGTGACATTAAAACTCCACCTGTATATAAATTCTTTTAAAGTTTTCTGTTCTCTTTAGGCATTCGTGTCAAAACTGTTTTCCTGAGTTTTCTTCCAGGCACAGTCATTCAGGACATGCCCATCTTTCCCCTGAATTTCAAGCAAGTCTTGCCATTCAGCCAACAACTTCCTGAGAGCAACACTTTTTGTTCTGGTGCAAGTTCCCTTACATTCCTTTCTTCTATTGTTTCTCCCAGTTTTCTTCTAAGACTCACCCGAAATTTTCCAAGTTAGTTCTCCCACACAATGCAATTTGCTCATTTCTTTTAAATGATCTCACAACTGTTTAGCCATTCAGATGACAGAGTTTGTTCCTACTTGTTTGCCTATAGCTAAATACAACAGATATGACAACTGTTAGTACCAGTTTTAGCATGCCTCATCATGAATTTTTGTAACACTGTTCAATATCTAAAATATAATTTTGTATATTGTATTTATTATTATACTTCTATTTGGAAATGATCATGCCATCAGTGTCATCTTCCTTTTCTTTAGGCACCACTTAAGAAGACTTTTTGTCAGTCTCTTGGGTTTTTTTCCCCTAGCCAAATTTAAACCAGTTCTTCCTGAAGTTGACCAAATTGGCATGAACTTGGAACAACTACTATAAAGTATATGCAATCATCAGTAAAACCCTTTGCTGTCTCCCATATTCTGCAAATAAACCACAGCATTAAAGTGCAATTTAAATCTGGAAGCTCATTATTACAAAACAAAGTGAAGTCTTGCTAAGCCTGTCTAAAAATAGTATTGTATAATTCTATCAATTTTGTTATTGCCAAACAATTTTTGTATCAAGTGTGCTTGGTTTATAACCTCTTAGCAAGTGCCAGACACTTGGGACGCTCTTTCTCTGCAACTAGGACTTCTCTCTCCTGAAATACTTCACTGACAGCAATGGTTCTATGAGACAAGTTAGGTCCTTCCTTGAAACTTTCAATTCTTTCATCTTTGAACAACATGTGCAAACATCCGATTGAATGAAAATTCATAAAATCATGAAGGACTATAATCCAACGCTACCTTCAGCTATTCTGTATCTGTGAGCATTACCAAGAACGAAAACCCATCACAACATTGACATTAGCAGCCCTGTAGCTGAACATAAGCAAGAAGTGGTGCCACTTACACAACTTGAGTGCCCAATTCCCGGCTGGTAATTCAATCAAAGGCTACATCATTCACTGAGAACACTTCACATAAAATAACACAAAAATCAAAACTAAAGATGGAAGTAGTTGAGCATCTTACAAACACCTGAAGCTATTCAGTTGCACTTTTGTTGCTGTTAATTAAAGCAAGACCCCTTCTTAAAAGGGACAACACAGATGTACTCATTTGAAGATTTTACAATGTAATTAAGACTATCATGGCATTAACTTACATTGTCCATGCTCAAGGCTAACTTGGATTAAAGCAATGCAGGCTTTTTCTAAATACTTCTGCCAAATACTTGCACACATGTACAGGGAAATTTCAAATCTGGCAAAGAATTCAAAAATCTACAATCTTTTGGCTCAATGCTGTAGCCATATGTTTCTGCAATAATCACTTGCAGAGAGACAGCAGGCATTGTCACATCATCATATACTTTTCAAAGCCAGAATACCATTAAAAAAGCTGATCATATTATCACAGTATTTATTTCAGGCCATTTGCAAACTCAGACATGCAACACCAACCAAAGTGCTTCAATTTGCTTCGAAATGAAAGTTATCCAGAAGTCAGGAATTTTATTTTAATTCAAAATTCAGATTCCAGATCCACTTCTACAAGAACTACTTCATGGCACGCACCATGGCCACTGTTTCACAAATGCACTAGATTTCAATTACAGGAAATAGTTTGAATACTGCGAATACTGTGAATAGTGCAAATAACTGCGGTTATGCAACTGCATATACTTTGGTTATCTAAGGCAACTGCCAACTTTAAGAGTCACCACTAACGTATGTATTCACAAACTTTCTCAGCATAGTTAATTTCGTTTCAGTAAATACATTTAAAGTAAGCGTATTTAATGTGCATGATAGAGAATACTGTAACTGAGAGTTACCATATATTCATGAGCTCAAGCTGCTTTCCCCAGACACCTCAATACCACATCTGTCCTTTCTTCATTTATATGACTTAGTCAGCCTTATTGGACACCCAATGCGGCAACTCTTGCGGTGAAGGCTCCTTGTCTCGTTTTGAAACAATGAATTCCCTATGCTTTGGTTTATACGGTTACTTTTTTCTCCAGTTAATGACAGTCAAAATGTTTTTATCTGAATTGGATTTGTCTCCTCATATATCTCAAAAGAATGCATTCTTAAATATGCTAACGTTAGAGAGGAAGATGCCACGGCAGGCTCAGATGCAAAAGGACTATTTCTACACCACTCACTTCCATGTTTGATGTAAATTAAGCAGTATCAAATTCATAATAAACTGTACTGTGATTATGTTTTTAAAAAACTTAATTGAGTTTACTTGATTTGCAGAACTCTTGGGACTGATAATAAATTCAGTGAATATGCCGTGACTAGCCATCCTGCATATGATCATCCATATGATGCCTATACCAAAAGCCTTTCAGTCAAGGTAGCCCATCACCATCTGTAGCATAGTGTGTACAACAAATCCAGCTGAGACCTTTCTAGAAACAGATTACATCTATTGCTGTAAGTACAACTGAACACCCTAACCTAGTCCTGACTGTCCTCAAGGGGATTACGAAAACATACAGACAAATTGCCATTCATGACATCCCCCAAAAGAATTAAATCTAGCTCGCTCGCTCAGAACAGTCTTTCCCGCTAACTGGTTACGGAGCCCCTACCTCCAGGTATGCACACAGCTCATATTCGTTCCCATTTGGTCAACCTGAATAAAGGAAGACGACAGTATTTCCCTCCTTATCATTCCCATCCCTTGTTTTCCATATCATACCTATACATTAATGATATTTTGTGTATGGTTCTCAACCTATCATATACTCTTTCTTTGCCTGCCATCCCTTTTGCTTCTTTATAATCTCTGATCAGCATCTGTACCCCCATTGGTAATAACACTGGCTTTAGTCACAGCAAAAAACACAGGAAAAAAAACATTAAGGGACTGCTTTGTTTCCTGCTTCATCTCTTACCTGCAAAAACTGTAGGAGGAACTTGCAGTTTCCCTGGGCAAATGGGGAACATGTGTATGTTGAATACATAAACAAGATCACAAGATCTTCAAACAGTTGGAGGACCTTTAGAATTATAGTACAGGATCTCCTAGAGTTGATGATTCTAACAAAATAATTTTTTATCTTCCCCAATTCTGTATTAAAGCAATTGTAAATGAGCATTTTCCCAATTCTAGCAATGGCCGTTTCCCATCAATTCAGCATACATTTACGCGAACACTTGTAAGAAAACTAGCTAGTTTCTTTCAAGGTGAAGGTTTGTTGAAGTATTTTATATTTACAGTAGTGGAAATACTAAAAGATTAAGTAATCATGGGCATCTGCACATCTACATTTTTTAGGTTCTGCTAACCAGTATTAGACACACTTCCAACTTCAATAAAGGTTTCCTTTTAATTTCTTGTAATTACAACAGGAGTATGAACAGTTGAGGACATTTCAAATACAGCTGTAAAACACTGCAGGGTGTGGTGCTCTTATGAAATCAAGACACAAAGGCAGAGGCATGAAGTCTTGTCCTTTTTTTTTTTTTTTTTTTAAGTATTTCTTTACCAAGTAATGGCGCCAACCTGGATTCTGCAACCCTACATAAATCACTGCCAGTTGTGGCTAAGCTGTAATGTTAACCAACCAATTTAAAACCATTACTGACATAGAAACATGTATTTAGAGATTTTGTGCCAACTATGAAACCACACAGTTTTTCAATCATGTGAACAGGATACTCTATATGGAATGCTAAATACTAAAAGCCACATTGGGTTTTGGGGTTACCTTTCTTGATTGCTCAGTTTGGCATAGAGGGCTTTTACCAACTCTGGACATTTCAGCAAATGGTCTGTAACAATCAAGAACCTAAAGAAAAAAAAAAGTGTTACTGGTGCTACAAAAACAACATCTACATTTACTCCAAGTGGTGCTGGTTTTGTACAGATTTTTACTTGTAGATGACTGTGTGACATGCTTCTGGCCCTATTTGCTAATAAATACAAATTGTCACAAAATAATTGCGCATTGTTCTGCAGTACTTCTCCGAACACAGCAATGGCCATTTCCCATCAATTCAGCACACTTTTACTCAAATGCTTGAAGTTGGTTAGAGTCTTTTGCCAGTTATACAAAAGGCACACCACAATTCAAATAATAAAACACTCACTGAATTGTTCATGCATCTCAGCAAAAGGCCAAAGTTCAAGCTCAAAAACTATTATGCTACTCATCATGACACTGTTTTTAAGCCCACCAAGCAGACAAAAAAGTGCCCAAATAATTTATCTTTTAAAAAATTTCTAACAAAGCATCAAAGCAAATGGAAACTTCTTTGTCAGATGCAAGGCAGCAAAATACTGTTCTCAGCTTACAAAAAATATCCTCATTAACAGGAATCTAAGCTGATAACCAAATTTAAATCCTTGCTCTACGCGGCAGGTAGGTATGGTCAGTCTACCCTTGTGCTAATGCCGTTATTGACACTGATCACTTTCCCAAGCACCATTCACAGCAGTCAATAGCAGATGCTAGTCGTTTAATTTCAACCCAGACATGTACTCTCAGCATTATGGGGAAAAAACAAAGTATGTAAAAATATTTTTCTCCTCAAATTACATTCCTAGGAGTACTGACAGTGTTATATATGCTGCAAAGATATATGCATACTAAGCTACGCATTTTTAAAGCGGCATGTCTACCTATTAAATATAAAATAATTCTAAGTCAAATCTCAGAGTATCTCCTCTGAGCTGATGAAGCTACTGAGAACGAATAGCTAAAATATTATGAAAGCCAAGCAATTTCAATATTCCCTCCACCTCCGCCCTACTTTTCACTTTGCTGACAGCCTTTTATTTTGTGTATCCATAATCCACCACACAGCTAACAGGAAGATCACATAGAAGCCTTCCAGTTGCAACGAAGTATTTTTGGGACATATGCTCCATGACAACTGGGGAAACAGGAGAACAAGAGGTCCAAAAGATTAATAGCTCTAATGTTTCTAATGATAACTGTGGACTTTGCCAACATCTGGTTCAGTTACTGTAAACTAGACAATTTTAAGAGGGGGAGGAACACGAAAAGCTATTTTGTGCTTTTTTTTTTACTGATATTTGTACACACATTCAAGCAAAAAAAAAAAGTACAGGCATAGGAAATCATCAACTTAAAATTGGCATTCTGAGCAGTGTAGCATTGATTCAAGAGTTTCTCAACACAAATTTGAACCTACAGGCTTCCCCAAAGTCAACAGCACAAATGTATTCCAACTGAGCAGTGCAGACTCAGCCATAACAACTGAATCAAGCCATCAGCAGGGCAGTCAAGGGGAACACTTCTACAGTTCCTGAACCAACAATTCATGGCATACAAGCCATCCACAGTTAAGCCTTCAGAATGGTAACAACTGACTTTATTTTTCAAGGATTTGAGTAGAAGCGAAGGCTTTTTATCTGGGGCTGCAAAAGAAAAAAGCATAATAATCAGAGTTGTACAGAACATAATACTTAGCCTCATAATGTACAAATTTCAGCTGACAACTAAAGTATGGTAAAAGTGCATTTAAGTTGACAAACTGAAGCCTGATTTTTCAATTTTGCAGTTGGGACTATGAATTTAAATCTTAATTTTCATGACTAATTACTTTGAGGAAATCTTCTTGACTATTTGCCTTGTAGTTAAAAACCAATTAATAATTATCACAAAAAGATCTAATGCTACTAGGTGCACATTACTGATGACTATTGCAAAGTGGAAGACCTGCATTTTAGTCATTACTTGGGTCTACACTCTTGTATTTATTCACACATATCTTCCACGTTCTGTGGACTAGACCTCTACTGCTTGAGGAGCTTGCAGTATTTCTGAATAAACTTTCTGCTTACAAAGAAGCATAGACTTCTGTATGTGCTTCTTACCCTTTTAATTTCATGACATGATGTAACACCTCAGAAATTTCTGCTTTTGTATCAAAGTTTCTGTTTTACCTTATCCGCTTCCTGAGGATAAATAGAGCCCTAGCATATTTTACAAGAGCACCACCAAAAGGTAACAGAAGAATTAGTAGTGGAGTAAAGCACTTTCAACTCTTGCTACCATGCCCAGAAATGTTGGTGGTAGTTAAGCAAGGACTCAGCAAATTAAATCTAGTATCTTTAGTCCTCAGCTCTCCTGTTTTTCATTTGGGGCAGGGGAGAAGAGGAAAGTAAGACCATCCACAACTCTGAAATAAAAAAAAAGACATTCAGTTTTGGGTTACTGACTGAATATGGCATTTCAGATGCACACAAAAGGCTTTGGTAGATTTAAACTCTCTTTGGGGGCCAACAGCAGAACCACTGGGATAAACTGAGGACCACTGTAATTTAGTGAAGGAAATGGTGAAAATTAAAGTTGTTATGCAAGCGTAACACAGTAACAAATGAACAGTGTTAAATATGCCAATTTTCCTGACTTTTAAAAATTGTTTGGCTAAAATCCTAAAAAAAAATCAAGTGCTTACATAGTAGATAAATACAGGAGGAGATGTTCAGTTCAAAGACTTTACAATAGCACAAGGGCTTCATTGTACCAAATTGAACTTGAGAAGCAGCCAAGATGAAATGGTATAAGCTACATTTGCGCTCAGTATATTCCAAATGACCACTAAGCTTGCTCCAAAGCCGGGTGTAAGCAATCAACTTTATCATCAAATGTCATGCTCCATATTAAGTTGATTTGATCCCATTAGCAACTTTAGAGAACAGTGTCCTCAGTCGCAGAAAATGAGGAACCCCCCCCAAATGTTTTAGAAGAAAGAAGAAAAACGACACAGCAATTCTCTATTTGATCAGCAAACCTCTCTTCCTATCTCGAAACCAAAAGCATTTTTCATCATCCTACAATAATGCCACTCTATTTAAAATATTTAGTAAGAACAAAATAGCTAATTTTACTATAGTTTAACAAACAAATGTAACAAATCATCTGAATTTTGAAGGAAAAAAAGAAAATTTAGACAGCTAATCTTTCAAAGCCGTATCACCAGCCTTTTTAGATGCTAAAAAAGCAATATGCCTTATGAGGAATTGTTTGGGACCAGAACATATTTTAGGAGCAGAAGTATTTTTTTGTCCTTTCACAAGAATATAAGCACCCTATCAAAACTATTTAAAAAACAATTACAAGTATAGAGCTATTTAATAACAAATGGAACAGATGTGCTGTCACAAAGACCACCAGAAACTAGATAATTCATGCCACTCAAACACCAGCACTTCTCCCTCCAAAGAAGAATAAGGAAACACATTTCCATATTTAAGGCTCAACCCCAAGCATCAAGCACCACAATACTCCTCTCCCGAGCTGAATCAAGCACAACAGTGAACATCCTTCCATCTTCAAAAGGCATTACCCATAACGAATGCATCCTCCTTACAGGCCACGACACTGTCCACCAAGTCAACTCAGGTCTAGAAAACTGAGTTTAGGTTTCTGTATTATTTCTCTGATTCAGTAGACACGCCCATTCAATTTGATAGCTACATCTGAAAGGCACTAAAAAGAGATTTACTTATGTGCAAAGTTGGAATCATTTTTTTCTGAAGAGATACCAAGAAAAAACTGGAAGACGATTAGCATTACAATCACTTCCTGCTCCCCCTTGCTCCACAAAATATACAAGAAGAAAGAGGTGACAAGGTAAATAAATGTGTGAGGCTGGGCTTTGAAAGATTGAAGAAATCTATGCCAATACACTGCTACTGCAAATAGAAAGTAGAAGCTACTCAGATCTCTACAGTTAAGGAAACTTTTCCAATTGTCAGTACTATTTAAAACCACAGTTGAACTTGGAACCTGCAACATAACTCCAACTTTCCTGGAATTAAAAATAAGAATTACTTTCTGGAGAGTAGAAGAAGGGGGCAGGGGGAACCCTAAACTGTCAGAGAGAAGAGATACGAGTTGCCAGCCCAAAATGAAAAAAAAAAAAAAAAAGAAAACAAAAAAGGTAACATTTTCTGGTTTCTCCACCACATGCATACCAACTAAGCAACAAGCACTCTACTGAGGAGTTCCATCTTTGCCTTTAAATCTGTGCCCATGGGCGAGACTCCTTGCCACAGGAGCACTAGTTTCTGTCCACACTTCTTTCCATAAGCCAGGACAAAATAACCAAAGGCAAAAAATGGGGAGGGGGAGCCCCACATCCTAATCTTTACAGTCATCATTGAGCTGTGGTTTCAAAAAGAGAAAGTTGATGTTCAGAAAATCTTACTTCCAATGCCAAACAGCTGACCACACTTTTAATATCGTTTTTCTGGAAGCCAAAATGCGTATTACGCCTCTTATTTTAAAATGGAAGATTTTTGTTCCTTGCTCTTCAGGAATCAAAAATACAACCTGTTTTTTCTTTCCATAGTAGCTACACTGCCCCATGCACCCACTTGGAAAAACTGATGACACAAGCTATACTCCCATCTTTAATGGAACCACCAAAGTATTTCTAAAATAAACAGGTTTTAGAACACACATTGGTCTCGGTTAGGATAAATTATAATGTAATTTTGTACTACTTTTTCCTAATTGTTTTACAAAACACATATGTTTGCAGGTTCAATATTCTAAAATAGATCTCATGTGGCATTCTGTGCTGGTTTCTTGTCTAAATACAGTAGCTTCTGAACTGTGTGACACGCTTTTCTGCTGTTGATTAATACAAACCCAAAAGGGAGTGAATGTGGATGTGTGGGGAAACACACAGGAATGACTTTTTAAAGGCTCCACAATTTTCCAGAGCCTAAGGCATCGCTCCCTGCATGTTTTAAGAAAAAAAACTTTTACCGGGGGGGGGGGGGGGGCGGGGGGCGGGG